TTGATGGTCGCAACTTTGCAAATCAAATTTATGAAATCTTCAACGAACTGTAAATACACTTACATTATTGCCTCGAATCTCTTGAAGCTGATTTCTTGTTTGCGCCCCTGTTAAATGACGATCCCGCAAAGCGTTGACTCGTATAAAACGATCACATAAAGCGGTAGTTCTGCGCTTCTAGACACTTCCAGCTTTACGCTTGTTTGCTCCAGTTCGTATAAAACATTTCACTACCCTTTGAATGGTAGAGCGATGAGTGTGTAGTACTCTAGCCACATATTCATAATTTCGCCCATGTTCAACCAGAGCAACAGCTTTCGCACAATCTTCGACATTAAAAACCTTGATCAATCATAGGTAAACAATATGTAAGTGTAAATATGACATAATAATAACAGTTAGCAAAGCTACCTCGTTGTATTACAAAATAACTCCAAAATAATCATAATAATCATAATTAAAAAAGTCCTAAATGGTGGGTGGCAAATTCATTTGGCTCTAAAAAATGAACCAAGGCATATTTTGACATGAAACAAAAAACACAATACTTAGGAAACATTGTTGCAACCGAAAAATAAGGTTTTACAAAAATTTACCACAGAAAATATTCCACAGGATGTTTTAAAGTTAGGATAATAAAAGCACGTTTTAATTAACACCGTATAATAAGTCAAATATAAAATTTTAATAAAAAACTGACTATACCAAATTAAAATTTTTAAATTTATACACAGTGTGATAAAACATAATCCAAATGGGGCTAAAAATAAAAAAATTGAAATATTTTGAATTTGACGAAAATTTTCTCAGTTGCGTTTTTTGCATCTGAGTGTAGTTGTTTTAACAGAGTTGTCTAACGGTCGTAAGTAATACAAATATATTATTTTTGTTTTGTCTCGTATAATATTTATTAATTGGGCTACAAAGTAATTTATAATTAAATATATGATATTGAAAGAGAATATTTTTTTATGAAAAATAAAATTGGAAAAGACGAAATTTTTGTCAATAAAATATATTATTACCTTAATACCCATATTGACATGAAGTGTCTTGCACAATCAAACCAATACTGGCTGCCGATAAAGACTACCTATATTCAGATAACATTTTACCTTATATTTAAATTAATGATAATACTACTATCATAACATTGTGAAAGGAAGGTATCCAATTAAAACTCATAATTTCCGTTCTGTTTGTTATTGTTTGATAACTTGACAACTATTTATCTGCCAGGACTATTAGATATATTATATAATTAGGTGTTTCTTCTATCTAAAATTTTGACTGTTTGTAACCCGTGCAAGGTTACGTGCAATATGGTGACGGAAAAAACTCAAATAATCAAGGAAATATAAACGCTCTATGAGAATCTGTGTATATGTGCTATACAGAACACCGGAATAGACCATAGAACAATTCTAAAGGTTGGCTCAGAAACTCTCCCTAAAATAACTCCTTCGGAAATTAGACATGCCTTGACAGACAGCAAATGAAAAATAAAAAAGTTTCTGGTGAAGATCGTATAACGTCTGAAATGTTAAAAATAAAAAAGTTTCTGGTGAAGATCGTATAACGTCTGAAATGTTAAAAATTGGCGGCAACATCTTTGTAGAGGTTGTGGAAGTTTTGTTGAATAAGTGTTTAACAGAAAAAAGAATAGCCAGTCTATGAAAAAACGCCGAAATAATACTTTTACATAAGAAAGGAGACACTACTAATATTGAAAACTACAGGCCTATAACAGACCAGTTATTTGTCACACTTATACAAATTACTAACAAGGATAATAACCAACAAAAAAACTTGATTTATATCAACCGGTTGAACAGGCGGGATGTAGAAAAGGGTTTGGTACTAACGATCAGTAACTTATCAGAACACTGGTAGAAAAAACCACAGAATATAATGTACCTCTACATATAGCATTTATTGACTTTCACAAGGCTCTCGATAGTATTGAAACTTGGTTCTTTTTGTAAGCCCTGAGGGATTCTCGAATAGACACACGGTACACTAAACTTATTAAAAACATTTATGAACGGGCCACATTCCACATCAAAATCGATGAGAACGAAAACACTGAAAAATGCGTCTTAGTAAAGATATTAGTTAAGGTGATACTATTTAACCAAAGCTTTTTACCTTAGCATTGTAAAATGTATTCAAACAGCTCGACTGGGAGCAAAAAGGTCTAAACATTGATGGTTTACATGAGTTATTTGAGGTTTTTTAATGACATAGTATTGTTTAGTACAGGTATCAAGGAACTGGAGCAAATGCTCAAGGAATTAAATCAGCAGTCAAAGGTCTTTATTAGGTCTTAAAATGAACCTTCAGAAAACAAAAATAATAAGTAATTTACAAACTAATATTGTTATTGAGAACATCATAAGAAGCATATTCCACCCAGACAATTACTGGTAAATCAGCAACAAATACTCCAAGTGCCCAGTTACTTCTATTTAGGAACCACTATAAACGACCAATGGGACCACTCAGTTGAGATAAAACAGAGAATTGAAAAAGCCAGATCAGCGTTTGTCAGAATGAGCAAGATATTTAAGAGCCACGACCTACCCTTAAAATAAAAAATCTGTTTCTTGAGATGCTACGTGTTTCTAGTGCTGCTTTATGGGGTTGAATCATAGACACTAACCGAGGCATCCATGGTAAAACTCGAGGCGTTTGAGATGTGGTGTTATAGACGGATACCGAGGATCTCCTGGGTGGACCAAGTAACAAACATTGAGGTTCTACGTTGGATGGATAAGACATGTGAAATTATATCCACAGTGAAACAGCGCAAGCTAGAATATCTTGGACATATAATGCTAAACGACCATAGGTATAACCTGTTGCAACTTATACCACATGGAAACGTCTACGGAAAGAGCGGACCAGGAAGAAGAAGAATATCCTGGCTCCAGAATTTACGAAAATGGTTTTCCTTGACCACTTCAGGACTATTTCGAGCTGCGGTCAAAAAAGTTAGAATTGTCATGCTAGTTGCCAACATACGTAACGGATAGGCACTACAAGAAGAAGAAGAAGCTTTCGACAAGTTAAGTTTTATCTTGAAGAATAAAGATACACCAATGTGTCTAAAACGTAGAGTTTAAAAGAAATGTATCTTGCCTGTAATCTATATATACTGGAGACCATGCTCTTTACAAATAAAACCTTAGGGCAGTCTAGTACAACCCAAAGGGCGATGGAGAGGGCCATGCTAAAATATCGATTAGTTTGAGAGACAGGATTCGATGTCACAGAACGTATATCAAGGGCTCAAGTGGCAATGAGTCGGACATGTTGCCCGAGATAATCCCGAAAAATGGATGCAGAAATTACCAAACTGGAGACCAAGAGAAAACAGGCAGACCACAGAAGAGCTGGGCAGATGATATCAAATAAGTCGCAGGCAGGCAGTGGATGAGAATTGCCAAGAGTAGAAATCATTGGAAGCAAATGGAAGAGGCCTATGTCTAGCAGTGGATGAATATAGGCTGAAGAAAAAGAAGAAAGAAGTACGAGATGTGATAAAAATAAGTAGTAAGTACTGAATATAAACAGAAAGGTTAAATGTTGCGAACAGTAATGAAAGCAAATAGGTAAACCACAATGTCTTATTGATTGTAATAAATGTGTAAAAAAGGTATCGAGCACTTCATATGTGTTATGAATCCTCTCGTGTGAAAAATATTAGTTGATATTGCAAAGTCTTATTTCGTGTAGGGACCTAAGTTATTGGTATATGCATGTTAAACTTATTTAATTTTTTTTAAAAACAATATGGTGGAAACTACAATTTCACAGATGTTAGAAAGAACTTTCTGTAGATTAAAACAGTAATAGACTAGGTAATAGTCAAATTTCTATTATTAGAAACTCGACATAAAATTTAGTCGCCATATTTGGTTTAATAATTAGTCTTCTTCGAATGTGGACATTATTTTTTATCTAAAATTGTCGGCGTCTTTATTGGTGCGTTGAAAATAATTTTAATGGATAGTGATAAATCTTATTCTTTATAGTTTCACATGTTTCTAACTGTCCGTCTATAAATATTTCTATTATGAGAAACCACTAAAATATACATTGACTCTAGTATGCAACTCAAAAATATTTAATTTCCATATATCTGTACTATTTATTACAATGACTATTATTAATTTTATTACATCTTCAAATCAATCACTTAACGTTATATTGATAATATATTACAAGGATATTTTTAGAGCTTTTAGAATGTGAAAATCAATTTTAGATTTAAAGACATTACATTTATATCTTTTAAGAAACATTTTCTTAATTTTCCAGTCTTTCTCCAGTTTCAATATTATTGATATTACTGGCAGGTGTACCTCTAAAAAACAGACATCCGCCTTGAGGCGGACTTGTGCAGCAACCATGCATTCATTCTACAATGTTTAGTTTTTAATTTTAGATTGGAAAAAATTATATGAATAGCTATTTTTTAAAAAAGTCCGAGAAAATACTTTAAAAATTTAAAGCTGTTTTTTTTTTATTTCATGACATTTTCGGTAATGTATCAAATTTGATACAAAGTGCAGTTGAGCAAAATTATAGGAAACAAAATACTTCTTTATAGTATAATATTTTTATTGGTCAAATTGAAATAAACAGTTTGAATCCTTATTAAAACATAAGTGCTAACCACATTTGTCACATTTAACATAGGGTAATTTTTTACAATTTGGCTTTTTGCATCGGGTTCGATCGCTAGTGTAGATTTTCCAATGGCCTACATCATCTCTTCGAATATCTTTTGGGGGAATATAGCTTGTTGGCCCTTTCTTTTTCTTCAATTGTATATCCTGTTCAATAGAACTTGTAGATGGTCGTCCTCGCTCATTTTCTGCTGTATCTTCCAGTTCTGTCCCACTCAGCTCATCTTTAAATACCGCTGGAATATTTGGTATGTCTATATTTTCTAAATCTACATCATTATTTAAGTCTTCAATATCACTTACATCTCAATCATCTTCACTATCATCCCAATTATTGACTATAACTTGCAATTCTTTATCTGATAAAGGCCTTTTTATATGCAAGCTAGACATCTAAAATAATACAATACAAACAAGTTTTTTACCGTACCTTTAAAAATAATAGTAGATGCTGAATAAAACTAGTTTAATACTGGATGACTTGTAATAACCAGAAAACGCAATTTTGCACATTCAATTTTCATTAATAACCACCTATAACAAATTTCTAAACTCAGCGTTATCGTCAACACGACGGTTGACCACAATAAATTTTTAAACTTTTTTTTCTTAAACATTTAATAAAAATCCTTCCATCGGCAAGGTAAGTAAGTAATATTATTTAATTTCAATATTCACTAAATTATTTTTTACTTAATTTTTATTTAATTAATTTGAATTCACGTTTAATAAATTGCGCACATATAATATTGGCATAATGTCTATATTATATTTTGTAATAGACAGCAAGACAGCACCCTAATACGGGTTATTACATATTCAGCATTTAGTTTACCATGTACCGTTGACCTGAAGATGCATAGCAAATTATGTTATGCGAAACCGGTCGTTGGTTGTAGAATAAATTGATTGTGTGTAAGTCTTATTCTTATTTTTTTTTACTTATTTAGAGTATTTATCATTTTGAAGTATGTCCTCAGGTATGACGTTTTTGTTTTTCTTGTTTTAACTGTATTCATTAGGTTTCCATGGTGTGTAATGCGTCTTAATACTTCTTCATTTGTGATTTTAGCCGTCCAAGCAATTTTAAGAATATGTGTGTAGAGCAAAGTAGCTTAAAGATTTGAAAATGCTTACTTACTTACTTACTCCGTGGCGTTACAACCCTTCGTGGGTTTTAGCCGACTCGACAACATGCCTCCACTGTTTTCTGTCTTGAGCAACCTCCATCCAATTCTTCACGCCCATAGTGCTTAGGTCTCCTGCTATATTATCTCGCCACCATAGACGAGGGCGTCCGCGTGGTCTCCTTCCAGTTGGGACTTCCTCCCACACCAGTCTTACTGTTCGTTCGTCAGAATGTCTTCTGAGGTGTCCTGCCCATTGGAGTCTTCTGGACTTTATTTCTTTTATGATGTTGGCGTCCGGGTAAAGTTCTTCAAGCTCTTTATTAGTTCTTATCCTATATTGTCCTGATGCTTCATCAAGCACCGGACCAAAGATCTTCCTTAGGATTTTTCTTTCCCAAACACGTAGTCTCTCTTCATTTGCCTTTGTTATTGTCCACCTTTCGCTTCCATACATCACAACGGGTCGTATGATTGTTTTATAGACCTGTATCTTCGTACGTCGTGTTAGTTGTTTTGATTTTATAAGGTTTTGGAGGGCAAAAATACATCTGTGGCCGGCCTTAATCCTGTTGTTTATTTCTTGTGATCCGTTATTGTCTTCAGTTATTGTTGTTCCAAGATACTTGAATTCTCTAACGCACTCAAAGTTAAAGTCATCGATGGTCATGTTCTGACAGATTTTGTCTCTGCTTTGGTTATTGCGGCTCATATACATATATTTCGTCTTGTTTTCGTTGATGTGGAGCCCCATCTTCTCTGCTTCCTTCTCAAACCTTACGAAAGTCTCCTTCATCCTTAATCGCGTGTTTCCTATTAGATCTATATCGTCTGCAAATGCCAGTAGTAAGTTTGGTCCTTCTCGATGAAATACTGTATTCGGTTTTTCGATTCTTGCACTTCTGATTATGTGCTCCAGAGTTAAGTTGAAGAGTTGTGGTGAAAGTGCATCTCCCTGTTTTGGTCAATTGTTTATTTCAAATGTCTCCGAGTATTGTTGTCTAACTCTCACCTTGTATCGTAACCGTTCCATACACATCCGTATCAACCGGACTAGTTTTTTTGGAAAGCCAAGTTCCTGCATCGCTGTCCACAGTCTGTCCCTACATACTCTATCAAATGCTTGTTTAAAATCTATGAACATCTGATAAAGCTCACGATCAAACTCCCAGCATTTTTCCATTATCTGTTTTATTGTGAATATCTGGTCAATTGTAGAGCGGCCCGGTCTAAATCCGCATTGATAATCTCTGAAAATTTGAAAATGCACCTGAATAGAATACCCAAATCTGCTTTGTACTACAAACCAGAATACTGAAGAAATATTGGAATACCAGAAAAATGCAGCAAGACACCTTGCAGAACAAGATACCTTGGAGGTAGAACAGGCATTTACTTAAATTCTCAAAGTGGAGAACAAGGAGAAAAGTACTTCTTGAATGCCGAATTACTTCTTGTTTAAATGTAGGCCCATAATTTTGTGTTGTAATATAATGTTCTAACGGAACCAAATCGTTCTTTACGTTGTCTTAAAGTTTGTATTTTTATTTACTTGTATTTTTTATGTATTTCCGTTTTTGGTATATCACCATATCAAACAAAAAAGCCTGCTTAAAACTTAATTAAGTTGTCATTTTTTGGTTAGTCTATATATACCTTTAACGAGCAATTAAAATTTATAAAAAAATTCTTCGTGTTCGCTACTTGAACAAAGAGGTAAGCTCTATTATTATTTACAATCAAGTGGTTCTAAGTATTTTGATTAATACTATCAATCGTATAAAATTTTCCAAAGAATTCTGCATGTATTTATTTATAAATTGACAAATATACTAAAGTATTTCATATATATTTCCATGGAACACGATTATTATAAAATTTATCTATTAGCTAACAAAACCTTGTGTCTTCCTGGAACCATCGACAGTTTATGTTGATAAGTAATTTCGTGGAAGATACATTTTTTTGGATTGAAGTATTTTCAATATTATCTAATCATCTCGTAAAGATATGGAAATGGGGTATCTACATACTAATATTTTAAAGTATACTAAATGTTATCATTTCTTTCAAATATAAATAAGGAAATTGTAAGAACTAAAAATAATTAAAATAAAAGTAAATTTAACAAAGAATTTGCTTTTACGACGACTCAACTTTCTTCAACAGTCTACTTGAATAGGGATTATTATAATCATATATTTGTCTGATGCTTGTAAAATAATGTTTCATTATTAAATGTTTTGCTTATGCTAAATGTAAATAAAATAATCAGTAGACTTAATGTGTAAAATGCATATATTGCATATTATGTTATGCAAATATTAGGGGATTTTGCATATTTTTAGAAAAAATTGCATAAAATGCATAAATGTCAATTTATTTCGAATTGCGAATTGTATATACAGGGTGGTCCTTAAGTAATTGTACAAAAAGAAACCGTAGTTTCTACACTACAAAATATTACGATTTAAGTCAAGTTGCTTTAATAAAATATTGTTATTAAGAAAGATACAGGGTGTTAAAGTGAAAATTTAAAATTTTATTTTTCGCTATAACTTTTATGTTTGTCAACATTTATGTATAAAAATGTACAGCTGGGTACTATTAAATATCAAAAATTATAATTTGATGTATACTTTAATGTAGCTAGAGGGCACCACATATGCCATATGAACAAAGTTAGTTTCATTCTCAACCACAAATGATCCTATGGTACAGATATGTGGATGACATTTTAGCCTTTATAGAAGGCCCACCTTCAGAACCTCACAATATTTTGTCAATAATTAATAATCTACATCCTGCAATTAATTTTACCTTAGAAATAGAAAGCAACAACATTATCAACTTTTTAGACCTAACTATCAAAAAGAATACTTCCTCCTTTTCTTCTTTGCCTACACTAGAATTTTCAATATTCAGAAAACCTACTCAAACTGACCATATGATACCAACATCATCAAATCATCCTTTTCAACACAAGATGGCAGCTATTCAATGTTATGTCCACAGACTTCTTAATATCCCTATGTCTCAAGAAAATTACAATAAAGAAATCTCCATCATTAAACAGATAGCAAACAACAATGGTTTTCCTTCTACTACTGTTGATAAAGTCATTAGAAAATCTATACTCAAAAAGAGACTAAACCAAGCTTTTAATGTTGATAACAAATCCAACACTACTTCCATATATAGATCCTTAACTTACTTAGGACCAATTTCAGAAAAAATTTCAAGAGTACTTGTTAACAAAATTAATGACTTAAACATCTCCTTTAAAACCAAATATAACATCAAGTCCATCTTCAGCAAGACCAAAGACAAAGTTGACAAACTAAACAGAAGTGGTATTTACAAGCTTTCCTGTGGTGATTGTAATATGACTTATGTAGGTAGAACAATGAGAACTCTGAATCAAAGAATCAAAGAACACCTCAATAACCCAGAAAAATCAAACTTTGGATATCACATTAAATTTAATAATCATTCTTTTTCTCCTTCTGAAAACAGTAAAATTTTACACAACATTCCTAATAAAAACTTTAGACTCATGAATCTCTTGGAAGATCTAGAGATATCCAAAGAAATGAAAATAAACCCTGATTGTTGCTTAAACACACAAATCAACCTCAATTGCAACTATAAACCTCTTTTTAAATTATTATGGGAGACTTTAGAGGAAGAAGGGTGACCTCATGCAATCTTGTTATATATTTTTCATACTTTTATTTTTAAACAAATTTTAAACTTTATTAAAATTTACAACATTTTGTAATTCATTTGACAGTTGTTCTTAATTGAAACATGAAAATACATTCTTAAAAAAATTTTTTTATGCAAAGTTCTTACAATTTTCCATCAAGACATACAATTCTTAATACACTTAAGTATCAGATAACATAACATTAATACCAGGTTTCTTCTTTATAGTGTTGTTGAACAATTTGAGCCCTTGTTCCTTAAGGATAGCTGTCAGATTGAACATACATTGACCTTGAGCAATGACTTGAGTGAATTTACAAATTAATGTCATTCTGTATGATGTGATGAACACATAAAATTTAATTTTAAAAAACTTAATTTTTAGAAAGTCTTTGATGACTAGTAGTAATTCCAAACTACTAAATAATTTTGTAAGAATTTAAAAAACAATCTCTATTTCCTATATATGACATTTGTCACCTGTCACTTTTGAAAAATCGTTTAAAAGACCGACATTTGATTTCACTAGTTCTATTCAGTCTACATCCTCACAGCAAT